GCGGGAGCGCCACCACACTCCCAAGTGGCACACTGTAGCAGTGCGCCACCGGGCCGGCCCTTAAGTTAGTATTTTTAAAGCGCTTAGTAAGTGCTATATAAGTATAGCTATTATTATTTTTGAATTGGGATAAAGAGAATATTAGAAATTTGAAAACTGAAAGACTAAAGACGTAAGACTGGAAGCAGCAAGCCTGCAGTGGTTTGTGTTGAAAAGCCTGCACTGAATCTGCAAAGATTTTCAGGATATCAGAATCTCAAACTTTTCCTTTGGAGATAATATCACCCTACTACTGACTGATGTTAGGATCAGGAAAACCCCAGGGATGAAGGAATAGGGGAATATCATCTCTTCTCTCTCAGGGGGAACTAGGTGTAGTCAGAGACATGGTCTGGAAAATACACTTTCTAAATCACAGTTAATCCAACCCGATAGCCAAATGCTTCTAACTGATTACATACAGGCAAGGAAAGTTAGGGAAACTCAGCTCAAGCAGGGCCAGTTAAACTGTGCAACAGTGGTATACGTGGAGGTGTTGTCATAAAGCTCACCCTGAGCCATTCAAGAAGTTGCACTCCAGCATCTGGTAAAGTGCTTTGTAGGAAACAGGCTGCTGTTATACCAGGGTGATCTCTTTTTAAAAAGGTGAGGGAGAGAGTTCTGGAGTCAGGAGTCAAGGATCCTCATCCTTTTGAGACTAGAGGTATCAGAAATGAAGCTCTCTAACTAGTTCTAGAAGAAATGGTCCCAATCTGGGACTGGGCTGCCCTGCTGCTTAGGATGACTGTCATGCAGCTAGTCATGAGGCCTCCCACTGGCCAGGGGGAAGCCAGTCTTTCCTCCCCACTGGGCATCCTTAACACAACCTTCTCCAGGTCCTTGTACGTGGGCACCTGCTTCTAGAGGCCTACCAGAAAGGTACAATTCTAGGTAATTTGAGTATAGTCTGAAATGCACATATGTAAATGTCTCCACACACATTTCCACTTGAAACACAGACAGAAATAGAGCCACACTCACCTAAATTAAGAAACACATGCACATCGTTCTATAGCACAGCCACACAAACCTATGGATTATAGCCCTATCTCGTAGACCACCATTAACAGGTAGCTTTCAGGACCAAATGGATATACTTAGGAAATCAGGCAGCCCACCCATGGCTCAGACAGAGAGAAGAGGCAACATGAAAGCCCAAGTCAAATGAAGCTTCCCACTTGGCCTTGACCCCTTATAGAAGATCAGGTCTATCTCTTAATGACAAGGTAGGAAAGTGGGCACCCAGCTTAGTGACCTCAGGTTGAAAGGAGAGCTCTACTGAAAACACAGCCTGGGATCAGCAAGGAGGATTTCCTGGAAACTTTTTCCTGCTTTTTCTGAAGATTCTGGAGTTTGATGATTCCCTATTTTATGAAGGAAAAAAACACAAGGTTCCAGGGACTCTAAACTGAACAAGAAACAGGAAGGGAGAAGATGAGACTATTAGGTGCTTTTCTGGAAGGAAACTCTAATATACTCCTCAGAGGTCAAATCTTCCTGGTGGTCAACTTATTTAGATGGAGGATTGGAAGGAAGCTGAGTAGTAACCCTCCTCTCTTCTTATCCAGGATTTGATTTTTCGTGAGGAACTGTCAGTGAAGAAGAGGAGTGTAGGGGACTGGGGCAGTGGTACAGGGCCGGCATTAGGGGGAACTTCAACCCAGGAGTTGGCATTCCCCTGTATACTTTCTTCTCACCTCAGGACATGTGGGATTCCCATTTTCCCTTTGGATTTTATGAGTAGAGGCATACGTCCAGCTGGGAATGGGAATGTCATGAGAGGAGGCCTCTAGGTATCTGAGCTAGGGGACAGACTGATTTTCTTGTCAAGGGAGCAGTAGTCACAGTAGGTTGGAGAGAACACCTCTGATGGATATTAAGCTGACCCAGGAATACCCCAGACAAGGCCAGAACACGGAGATGCCACAATAACTTTAGTGAGAGCCCACACTCCACGTGAAAAGGCCCAGGATGGAGGGAGGTACTGGAGTCCGGTTGGGTTGTGTCCATCGTTATTACACAGTATGAATGGAGTTCTGAACATGCAGCTGTTTTTTGATATCCCTTTGTCCTCAGCATGGAAACATCCACTTCCCTAGGAATTTCAAATGAATACCATCCCTTTAGTCCCCAAACACTAAGAAATGCATTTCTCTGAGCCTCTGCAGCAAGATGTGGGTTCGAATCCAAGTGCTTCCTCAGAACACACTTCGCAGTGGATTCTCTGAGTTACCACTCTACCTTCCCCAGTAATGAAACCCAAGATCCACCATCGCAGCCCCCTACATCCACTAGTGCCTAAAGATACAGAGAGAAGATGAAAGAAGGCACTAACCTGTCTCCAAGGTTCCCTTGGCAAAAGGAGGGAACCACTTGATACTGGAGTTTGGGGTTGGAGGGATTTCCCTCTTCAGAGGCAGATGACAGGTCTCATCATCAGTGGCTCTTCCTGTACTTGGCTGAGCCTCCCAAGCTGGGGAGGGGAACTGGGTCCCCTGAGGATGAGGAGCCGAGGGACGAGAAGGGGGGGTAGGAGAAGGGGGTCCTACCTCGGGAAGGTGGCACACGCCCCACACCCTGCCTGTTACCGTGGGGAGGAGGGGAGGAGCCTCTCCCAACCAGGAGTTGTCTCCTCCCCCCCCAACTGGGTCTTTCTCGGGTGGCGGGCTCTTTCTGTCTGCCGGAGGTCTGAGCGGAGGGGCTCTCCTGCGTTCCACCGTCTAGGTACAAGGAAGTCGCAGGGCCAGGTCTTCCCCTCTCCAGAAGGGCTGAAAGCCGACTCCTCTCTTTGCCTGGAGATTCCTTTGCTTCCGAACGTAAGCACTCCTGTCCCCTGCGAGTCGTGGACGGGACGGAGGCGCCTACTCCACAGGCGTACCCCCTTCTCTTGCCTCAAGAGTCCTGACCTGTTTAGAGCGTGTGTGGTGGGGTGCAGGCACGCTAGGGCCGTCTCGCTCTGCTTCCTTTAGAAGCGATCACCCCTTTCTACTTCTGGGGTCTCCACCTGGGCCAGCATGGGGGTTTTCTTCGCCTCTCGAAGGAGAGGCGCGTCCCCGACAGGAGTCTTCTCTGTCCCTCACCCGAGTGCTAAGGGTCTTCTCTCCAGCGGGGGGAGAGGCTGCTCCCGTCCCCGCTCCCGCCTCCGCTCCTGGGGTGCCCCAGAGGGTGGGGTTTCCGCACTGCCCGCTCTCCCTGAGCTGGCCTGGGCAGCAAGGTGCGGGAGGCCGCGGCTGCCGACTCCCGTCGCTGGCTACTGCGGCGGCAGCGCCTCCTCTGGTCCGGTCCCGTCCGGTCCGCTCCCTTCGGCGCGTGGGGTCCCCGCGCTGCCGCCGCTCGGGCTCCGGCCAGTCCGGGCTCCCGGGGAGCCAGAAGGCGGACGGACCGTGTCAGGGCTGGGCTCGGCTCGGCTCCGCTGCAGGCCCCGGCTCCTCCCCGGCCTCCGCGCCGCACTC